AAGAACGACCTCGGGCGCACGTCCGCAGCCTCTGCCGCCGACCTGCGCTGTCTTTGGCTCGCGTTTCTCGCCGCAGTGACTCAGAGCCGACCGCGCCGTGCCGCGGAGCGCCGGGCAGCGCAGGCAGCACACCTGCAGCCAGGACTGCGCTTCTCGCAGCCAACGTTTCTGCCCAGGAATCAGCTGCTTCTCCCCTCTTGGGCCCAAATAATGTTTCACAAACACAACCTGCCTCAAACTTCGGCAATTCCGCGCTCTGAGTGATTTTTTAAAATCTCAATGAATTCCCGTATTTTCTTCATATTAGGCAGAACCTCAAGAATAAAGATTTTCCTAATACACTGTGTATTTAGTACGTACGTGTGTGAAGCGACTTACACATATAGACATACTCAGTTACACACGACAGTCATGATTTGGTTCCGTACGTGCAGCCAAGGAGAGCCAGCAGGATCCCATAGCTAACGAGTGAGTAAAATCCAGGTCAGCCAGACACAACTGATATAGAGGAGGAACAAAGTTATTGCTTTTGTTTATAGTAGAAGATCCCATGTTACTGTTGACAAAAATCTGTATCATATGGACTAGTGATTTTTTTTCAAGTAATAGCGAGATCTTTGTCAAGTAATAGCAAGATCCATTTTTTCAGAAGTTCTACACACAACAGTAGGATGCTTGAAGAGCTTGAAAATTCAAGGTGACACACCAGAAACCGGCGTTCAGCCATTTAAAGCACACAGGCATTTCTGCAGGGTGTGTTACAGGAAAGCAAAAAGAACTACATGGACAATGAATACCACGGGAAAAGTAATCTGGATTGTAATATGGCTAAATTTTACCCCCAGAAACTTACGTGTGCTCCCTCACACCGCTAGGAGCTATGTCCTGACGGACAGAGCGCGGCTGGCTGCGGCAGTCTGGTGGTCACCTGACACAATTTGTAGCACATTTGCTAACTTATCTCAGCAAATGGAAAGAACTGAAAAGAAAAACAGTGTTGGTTTCAACATTCACGATTCACAGAAGAATTTGTTTCTGCAGCTAGATGGTCCCCCTCCTCACCTTTTTCAGAGAATCACATTCATATTGCAGGCTTCGTTCAGGCACTTTTTATAAAATGTTCATCTGGAGTAAAAAGTCTGCAAAAGTTATTTCTGCATAATTTAAAAGTAGCGTTTCGGTCCCATTAGAGTTTGATAGTTCGTTAGGTCCCACCACGTGATCATGGTTCTTGTTACCTCTAACGATTTGGCTGTTGCCATGAGACATTCTGAGGCTACTGTATAGCTGTAGTTAAGGTTTCTTCATAAACAAAAATATTTTCCTACCCATTAGAAAAGAAAAAAATATACTAAATGCTTTATACAGACAGAATCTGCTACTACGGAAATAAATAACATGGAGTGGAAAAACAGTGTCTCAGCGCTAGGATGCTAAGCCATGGAGGTCCCATTGACATTCCCTGGAGACTAGCTGCTGGTCGGCAGGAGAATCTCCAGCTCTTTGCCGTTCGACACTACGGCAGTGTTGGAGCAGCTGCTTGCCACGTCCAGGGGAGCACCCAGAGAGGACGCGGAGGAGGAGGTTTTGGTTAGCGGAGCCGGAGCAGCCGGTGACTGAGCGAGGCCGGGTTTCTTTGGAGGAATGGGTGGAGGGTTCCCTCTTTCTGCTCTCGGAATGGTTGGTGACTTAATTCCAGGAGACAGCGGGCTCAGTGGGCTGGAAACCTTGCCAGGGCTTGGAGAGTGACCAGATTCATTTTTGGGGCTCATGGCATTTGCCAGATTTCGGTAGTCCGTGCCAAAAGGCGAGCTGTTAGGGGAGACAGGTTTAATAGGTCCCTGCTGGCTGGTAAACCTGGAAAGGACCTGAGTGACCGTATTGCGGGCCAGCTGCTTGGCAGCAGAGTTATCGGCTAGAGTAGGAGACAAATCCCGCGAGGGTGGGCTCTGCAGACCACTTGACTGATGGTCCTGCTCAGCTTGAGACTGAAACTTGTGCCGAGCAGCATGGAAACGCTGGTTGATCCCCACCTGGTAGGATGACTGGTAACCAGGGCTGCTTGCTGAAGCTCCCACCAAGCGCTTGGTCAGAACGGGCGAGGAGCAGGGAGATGGCGTTAGGGAGGAGGCAGCGGTGCTGCTGGGAGACAGGGAGACCCCGCTGGCAGCGAGCTGGGACATCAGATGCACCGGCGACTCTGTTCTCACGGGGGAACTTCCATTCTCAACTGCGCTTTCTGGGGCCGCGCCAGCAGATTTCTCCTTCTGAACTGGGCTCTCGGCTGCAGCCGCCGGCAGCAGCTCGCTCCCCGTCTGCATGTCTGCATCGCAGTGACCATTGGATTTTGCATAGGAATGAGCAGGCGCAGGAGGGCTGGGCAACGCGGTGGGGAGAGCTTTGCTGCGCCGGCAGGCCTGCCTCGCTCTGCCTGCAGACCCTCTGTCTGGCAAGACACAGACCTCGCTGTGGGACTGTCGGTCACGACACCTCTGGACACCACCGAGGGACTTGGCTGTGCCAGCTCGGTAGGGCTGTGCTGCTGGCAAGAAGCCTCCAGCTCTTTCAGGGCTTTCTTCAGACATTCCACCTCTTCTTTGAGTGCTTTTGTACGGTTTTCTTCCCTGTTCAGCTTGGCTTTCAGCTGTTCCCTTTCAATGTCAAACTCGGAGAGCTGCTTTTCTACTTGTGCTTCCATCTGTAAACCCCGCTTCCTCTTGGATGCCAGCTCCTCTTCCAGTTTACTCACCTTACTCTTCTCTTTTTCCAACTTCAAGCTCAGTTCTGCTGTCTTCTGCCCCTCTTCAGCTGCTTTGGCCGTGGCTTTCTTGCACTCCACTACAAGCATGGAAGACAGCTGCTTGTGGCGTGCCCTTTCCTCCTCCAACTGGCTGGACAGCTTCTTCTGTTCTTTTTCAAACTTCTTCACTTGGGATTTTTCAAACTCCAACTGGAAGATAAGAACAAAAAAGACTGTAAGGGAACCACAAAACCTCCTGGAAGTAAATGAAGTATAATACCCGAAAACTGGATGGGGTTGCCATGTATCTCAGAGAAATTCCTCAGTAAAAGATGGCAATGGCTAAGCAAGAGGCTCCTGCCCCAGGAATTTGCAAGACAGTCTGGTATGACTCAGGTTGTACAGATTAAGAATTCTTACTTACTAGTAGTTATGTCATGTATGAAATTCAATTGACCTTTAGTGAGATATACACCCAGTCTGCCGTGCGCTGATTGAACCGTCAATCTGGAGCAAAGCTTCCTTCCACCTCATTTACTACTTTGTTGGGTTTGCCTTTTGAAGGCATTTAGATGTTAAGATGCTGATGCGTTATATATGTTTAATAAAGTCTACAGTGCTTAAGTAACAGAAAACAGTAGCTTAAATATTTATTATCATCTCTGAATAACTCCCCCAGGAGATCTTTCATGACTTATTCTGAATTTTGCGTACTAGAGAGCCCTGTCATTCGTAAGTGCAGCCCTGCTCTTGAGAACTTCTCAGATTTCAGGCTGAAGTAATGTTACAAAGCATCCCGTTGCCTATCAATAGCTTTTAGCACTGCTCAGCTATCAAAACACCCCCCAAAATTAAGGTTGTTTTTCATATCGAAACGCTAAAAGCTGGGAGCACCTGACAGAGGAGGGAGGTCCCCACCACTCTTTCAACAACGAAGGCGCAATCGGACAGCGCTACCGAGCTCACGGCACAGGAGGCCGGGGTGCTGGCCGGCTCCTGAGGATACCTGCTGGGTGAGGCGCTCCCGCTCCTTCTCCAGCATGTAGGTGACATCATCCCCCTCGGCCGTGTCCTGGGCATGCCGCTGCCGCTCCTCCTCCAGGTCCAGGATCACCTGTGGAGCAGACACCCGTCACCCCCGGGCCCGGGCACGCTCCCGAGCGGGGAGAGGTCAGCGCCTTCACACACCTTCCAAAGCCAAACGACACGGGAGAGCAACCCCTGCAGCCTCAGACATCCAAACGCCACCCCAAAAGTCCCATTAAAGGCAGCTTCTGGCCACCTTACAATACTCTGTTATTATACAGTGTAGTAGAGTCAGTTTGTGAAAAGTTAGGGAAACCTCACACTGGATGCATCTTCATTTTATTATTAAATAGCTAAATTGCATGCTTTCGCCAAACGACACGGGAGAGCAACCCCTGCAGCCTCAGACATCCAAACGCCACCCCAAAAGTCCCATTAAAGGCAGCTTCTGGCCACCTTACAATACTCTGTTATTATACAGTGTAGTAGAGTCAGTTTGTGAAAAGTTAGGGAAACCTCACACTGGATGCATCTTCATTTTATTATTAAATAGCTAAATTGCATGCTTTCCCCCCAGACTGCAGAGCAGCCTTGAGAAGTTCATGCTTCCCGGGTTGTGCGGTGCCCGCCTCGGACTCTCCCGGCAAACCCCAGCAGGAGCAGAGGCTCTGCCCGGCGGCCGAGCACCCAGGGGACACGGGGCTGGGGCAGCCACCAGACGATCCTGCTCCGCGTTACG